CTGGTTTCTTCAATGATGAGCTCTTCAACTTCATCTGACGTTTTGGACGACCTCTATTCGCAGAGGACTCACGGACAGCGGAAGTGTGTGACTCAATATCGTCGTTTCTGGTGAATTCTAGGGTTTCGATCACAGGTTCCTTAAACCTCAGTTTCCTGGTTCGTCTCCGCAGGCCGAATTCGTCTACATCAGCTTCGCTTGTAGACAGTCCCTCATTTTCCTCGCTAAACTGCTTCTCAGCAGACAGACACTGAGAAACGTATATTTCGTTGATTAGTGACTCGTTGATTGCCTGGTGTTGCTCCTTTGGGTAAAACCGGTCGATCAGATTTCTCAGGTCTTCGGAATTCTGAACCAGCTCTTCATGTGACACCGGCTTTTCAACGGACACTGAGGACGCTGACAACGCCAATTCGCCTTTTGATCTTTCGTCGAAGTTCTCTTTCTCCTCTGCTTCCAGGATCGCCTCTCGAGCTTCCAAACTCCTTTCCTCCTCAACAAGCCCCATATCATTTCCGTCGTCTTTGGTGAGGTTGCAGCTAACCTCTTCATCTTTGTTTTCCGTCGCCACTGTCTGATTTGATTGGTCTTTACAGTTTTCCAGCCGAAACGTCTTATGTGGGTCCTCGTCTAGGGTGGCGTCTATGCTGACATGTTCGAAAGCCGGACTGTCGGTTTGCACGTCGCTGTCCGTTGTGCTGATTGGCATTTTCACTAAACAGAACTGTCTAATTTTAGAACTGAACATTTTCATTTAACATTTAAACTTAACAAAGTTTGAGATCATTGATAACCAGCTTTCTCGCGGTTCCGTCAAGAATCAGCGAAGCCATTGTTCAACTGTCCCTCTCAGTGAAAGAATGAATGAATGAATGATTAAGTGAGTGAGTGAGTGAGTGAGTCAGTCAGTCAGTCAGTCGGTGAATATGCGAGCCGGTCAACCAGTTAGTCAGCTCTAATGACCGTTCATCCTTCCGGGGCGTGGACGCAGCAGAGTCAGGTAACAGATATTAACATCTGAGTAGCAGAAGATACCGCTAGTGAGGGAAAGAGTCCGTTGAGGCATTTGGTATAAGTCATTCTTGGCCGTCTCTGTGATCTTTGGCAAGTAGTAGCTGGTGAGAGTCTTATGAACATGATATCACTCTCAAACAGGTCAGCTGAGAATGTTTTGAAGAAGGACTGTGAAGAAGCGATGAAGAGACAGAAGAACGAAGAACTGTGGTTGAGAAAGAGTATACATGTTGGTTTAATTCGAATTAACCACGTCGTACTGGACATCGTTCTTCTCACTTGCAAGTCCTGCTGATCGGAGTCTCTCGATCATCTGTCGTTCGTACTGCGCTGGCATAGTGCCAAAATTCATGGCCCCATGTCGTTGCAAAAGTTTAACGAGTTCCGGTGTCCCCCTTTTCTGCGCTACGTCTAAGGCTGTAACATACGTTCCCTGAAAACAACGTATTAAATAGACAATTAACAGACTGCGCATGTAAACGCAAATTTACCCC